GCCACTTGCAGTCCTTCGCTCTGATGTAGCAGAGCACGCAGATGCCGATCCAAAGCAGCGCTTTGACTGTTGAGGGGCCTGGTCCCTCGAGACTGCACCGAGGCACAAGACAACACCTGTCGAGCGCAGAACAACTTGTCGCGCGCAACTGTGGGCTGATGGCCCGGCGGGCGACCCGGCACATAGTCCGTCACTCGCCAGCAGCGACAAGCGAGCCAAAAGGTGTGGGTCAAGGGCGTCGCTGATTGAGTGAAGCCCCGCACGATTTCCATGGGCAGTCCGATCTTAGCCGAGGCAGTTGCCCTCGTGCGAGAAGCTGACGATTTGGAGTGCGCAGCAGGTCTTGGCGCCTCGAACTTGGACTGAGGTGCGCGTCATGCCGAGTGACGACGAATCACGAGGGCGTCCAACACTGTGACTCCGACGTCGAGTCATCCAGCCCGATGAGGCTGTGTTGACAGGTGCACGTGCGCATGGACCATGCGCACGACGGCGCCGCCAAGTCTAAAACCGGGGATCCAAAAGCCAAAATCGAAAAGCTAAAAGCAGAGGTGCTGATGCGTGAGTGCTACTTGGAAGCGAGGTGCGGCAGATCAAGAGAGAGAATCGAGAGAGCCCTTATCTGGTGTGTGCATGTGGCTTGACGCGCTTCACGGGCGGAGTCCAAATCGGCCAGGGTCGTCACGCGAGCCGGTGGTTGAGTCCGGCAGCCGACGACTGTGTGGATGCATGCGCACTGATCATCCTTGCCTGATTGTTCCTGATGATCATCATCATCTGGGCGTCGAGATTGCCCGATCTTTGAGCCCTATATCAAGATAGCCGACTTACAATCGTCGAGGCGGGGCGGGGCGAGGTGGTTTGTGTGAAATCGATCCATCTCCCACAAATGAGAATCACAATCCGAATCACGCATCGACGATCTTGATCAAATCACATGTAAGTTTCGTGATTAAATTTGCATGGGGCTCGATCGAGCAACCGCGCGTGCCTGCGGCAATATAACCAGCATCTGGCCTCTCATCCGCGCACCGCGGGTTCATCAATGCCGCATGGCGCATGCATGCACATGCAGGAACGTGACTGCGTGCAGGCATCGGGCACTTCGCTACTACTGTAAAGCTTGGTCAGGCGACTGTGGCCCGCGCACACGTTGGAGTGGATGTGGATGTGCATGAGGGCTGCTGGACATTGTACCGTACGAGAGAGGCGCGCAGGCAGATATGCAAAATGTCGCAATGTCGCCTGTCTGAGTTTCGACCCAAGCCTTGCGCACCGCGACTCTTGATTTGTGACTTGTGACTGTTGATGTGCGCTCGTGACCGCAAGCAACACCATCCTCACTTGACTCAAGACTTGCAATCAACGCGGGTGCGAGTGTGAGTGCGGATCAACACCCGTCGGCTCGTGATGGGTGCAACAGAAGCTTTCGCAGGCCTCGCTCTTTCCGCTTGTGAGAGTTGAGTCAGTTCATCTGTCTGGATGCACAACCACAACTTGTGCCATCTCTTCGACTCGTCGCACCCCTCGACAGCCTCGACTGACGCTACAGCCACAGACCCGCCATGCCATGCTGCCAAGATTGCGTCCGGACATCGTCCCGTCTTCGCCGTGACTGTTCCCGTTCCGTGATGCTGTATTGCGTGGCCTCGTCGCTATTTTTGGTGTTCGAAACCTCGTCCCTCCGCTCGCCTTCTGCCTGCCTGGCCTGCGGAGCGCAAGTGACAATGTAAAGCCACTGGACTCGCCGCAGACGGGACCGGTCCCTCTTGCCGCTGCGCATGTATGCGCACGAAAACAGCTCAGCACCCCGCTCCTCATCTTCTCCCACGTTTTTTTAGACCATGTGCTCCCTCCTGCCTTGTGGCCACGCGAGCACGCGGAGGAAGTCGGGATCATGATTGGGAGCCTCAGTCCTGGCCCAATCCTGGCCGGCACTGCTCTGCCAGTCGTCAACGGCTGATTCTGTCGTGCAGACTAACCACACACGCGCTGGTGCGCAGTGCCCTCGCTTCTACGAACGTGACATCGTCGCGCTCAAAGGTCCACCACAGCCAAGTCGATGCGCGGTGCGAGCCTTGGATTTGCTTCTCACCCCGTCAACAATTCGACGCCTAAACGGGCTGCTAGGTAAGCGAATGGACTTCACGCGGCGCTGTAGGCCAGACATTCAAATCCCTGAAGCACACCTGCGCTGTCTGGCTTGCTAGAGGTGTTGTCGCTAATTATCTGTCAGCCCATGTGAGTAGGCAGTCCATGTAGTCACATCAAGCAGACGTTGACAAAGCGAGCTTTTGTGGGATGAAATGCGCTCTTGCATTGCTAGGTTGCACGCACGCGCGAGACAGTGCTTTGGCGGGTCCACTACACGTGACTGCTCGACATGATGGGGTCACGGGCTCACAATCGTCCAACTTTCTCTCGCGACTTTCATGTCTTGAGAGAGAGGGCGCGCCGCGGGGAGCAACGTCAAATCCGCAGCAGTCCACACCTAGAGCGCGAGGGCAATGAGATCTCTTGAATCGCGGTGAGGCCTCGTGAGCTTGCTCGACTACGTTGGCAGCGGCTTGCACGATTTGCGCGAATCGATGCTGGAGTCGACTGCGTTGGCAAGACTCATTGCTTGCGAGGTGAAAACGTCGAGCAAGCAGCATCCATCGAAAACCAAGAGCGTCGCGATGGCAGCAGCCTAGTTCCAACCCTACACTCGCTCCGCACGATCAAACGCGGGGCAGGTGTTTCGCGACACTCCCAATCACGTCCAATAGCGACTGTCTGGGCGGACTGCGTACCAGATGCGCCAGCTCAAAGTCGTGCGTTGGTGACGCATGACCGAAAGCGCTCCACGATGGGCTCGAGTGTAGGCGACGCGGAGAGCGTAGAGGCGACGTGCGGCGCTGCTGTGGTGGATAGGGTGCAGCAGACGAGCTCCAAGCAGGGCTTTCAGGCCGACGAGACGGAGAGTCGGGCGAGTATTCCGCGGGCAGGGCATTCTCGTGCAGCGGTGACACTGCACCTGACGGGCTCCAAGGACGTGTCTCTAAATGGCCAGGCGAGTATTCCGCGGGCAGAGCATTCTCGTGCAGCGGTGACACTGCACCTGAAGGGCTCCAAGGACGTGTCTCTAAATGGCCAGGCGAGAGTTGCGTGGGCAGAGCACTCTCGTGCAGCGGTGACACTGCACCTGAAGGGCTCCGCAGAGGCGACGACCAGTGCGCGTGCACTTGCGGTAAAGAGAGATCGCTGAGCGGGCTCAACACCGGAGTGCGCGAGTGCTCGCGCAGCGGGGAGACCACGTTTGATGGGCTCCAAGGACGCGTTGAATGTTGCGGACTGTTCGAGACACTGCTAGCCTCGCCCACATGGCCGTCATGTGTCGTATGCGCGGTCGAAGAATGCACCTCGTGAACGGTGGGCGACTTGCTGCTACTAGAATCAAGCTCAATCGTCGTGCACGCTTCATTTTGACAGTAGCGTCCCGAGGCGTCGCGAGGTCGCTCAAGACTTGCGCCTTTCTCCGTCGTCTTTGGCCGTTTGTTTGGATCCGGGCTGAGAAATTGTCCGCCCGGTCCATGAGGTCTGACGTTCTTGGCCTTGCGTTCTTCGGGCGTCAGCAGCTGCCTCCGGTTCTGCTGAGCGGGCGGCTTTGGTCGGAGCTTTGCGAGCGACAATTTTTCAGCGCGAGCAGCGCGTCTGAGCCTCGACTCGTGCACGACGTCGTAGTAGGACTTTTCTTTGGGCTCGATTTGTACCTCTTGTTGTGGCTCTTGTTGGATCGCTTCCTTTTGGCGTGGACCTTTTTTACCACCACGATTGGTAGCGTTGGCAACCACCGCTTCGCTAGGGGCATTTCCGTGCTCGTCGAGCAAGTCGACCTCCACGCGACGGGGATACCGCCCAGTGTGCGTGCGGCGATACTTTTCGATATCTTCGGCAGTGGCGGGCGCCTCGTGAACATGTTCGTTGGTGACTCTGCCGTACTTGACGTAACCGCGACCAGATGCCATGGGAATTTTGTGCTCCACGTTTCCGTTGGCATCCTTGATGAGTCTACTAGGAACAGTTGTCTCGTACAACCTGCCATGAAAGTGTGTCTTTGGCATATCTGGCGTCGGAGACTTGAATCCAGTCACTGGAGTCACATACTTGGCGTGTGGGAATTGCTTGACGTAGTCTTTCACACTCAAGGCCATCGTCCGGCGATGATCCCCGTTTGCAATTACTGTGTTGCTGCTGAAAATGACTCGCTTGACGAGCTGCGCGCACCTCGACGAGTGAGCGGGGCGCAGTACTGAGCTCATGCACACGCATGCTCACCTGAGTAGAGAACACCGCCTGGCGAGGTCGCGTCCACAAGTCCCGCTTGTGGGGGAGCGAAAAGGCGACGGTACAGAGAGATGCTAGCGCGACGGCGAAGAAAGGTCGCATTGTGGCAATCATGGTGGCAGAAAGGGTGCAGGATGAGAGTGGAGGACGGATCGCATCCAACGAGTCGGATCGGTGTCGCTTTAAAAGTGCTCGGCCAGCGGCATCACCAACACGGTTTGCGCTCCGGCATGCTCTGCACTAATGACGCCACTATCGGTGATTGCCGCTTCGAGATCGATCATTTGGATGGCGAGCGCGTCGCGTCGCTTGACGTGATCGCCAACGTGTTCATCAGAACTTCCATCGTGGCGCAGCGTGGCGGTGCAGCGGACTGCTCGGCGCATTTCGATCGGCCCATTTCGATATTTCGAGCACCATCTTGCCAGGCACGCGTCGAGATGTCGAATGGAAGAAGATTCGGCGAGCTCCGTCTGACACGGGCGTACATGCGGGCCGAGATTCTCAAAGACGCCGTCCGACGTCCGCCTCCGCGCGCGTTTCACAATTGCCGCCCGCTTGCTATTGACGCTCGCTTACTTTCTGCTCCTGCTTTGCTATACGAGCGCCTGGCCCGCTCACAGAATACGTGCTGCCCTGAGCCCGAGAAGCAGACGGTGGAGCGTGAGCTCGAGGAGCGCCCGAAGCAGGCGCTGGAGCGTGAGCTCGAGGAGCGCCCGAAGCAGACGCTGTAGCTTTTGCCCAAGGAGCGCCCGTCGGAACCGTCGCCGCCGTGGTAGCACCGCCACGAGCAGGCAACAAGTTGGTCGAATCGATGCGCGTGGTCGCGCCGACGACGCCGACCTTTTTGCAATTTTCCCCGCCGTCCCACACCAGACCGACGGTGCCAAAGGGCAGGTGCTGCACCACAGGAAGCTTTGCGAGACATTCTGCTTTCCACATCTTGATCATGCCTTGATGCAGCTTGACCCAATTAGGCACCGTGGCCGAGATGTTTTCGAGCAGCGGCGAGTGCTCTCGAAATGGACCGCGCTTCTGGACGTGGATGCGGGCGATGGACGAGGTGAAGAGGTTGGGCAGCGGTGCTGTGCCTCGAAACGCTAGCAGAGCGCAAGGAAATGATCCCGCCGCCGGCTTGTGAGACGACGCAGCAATCTCTTGCGGTCTATACTCGCTTTGCACTGCGAGCGGGGCAAGAGAGCGAATAGTCGCGCGTGTAAGCGGCACACCGCGATCGCGAGCGAGCGAGCGAGCAACGACGCCCATGGCTACTGACGCCGCAATTGAGCTGCTCCGATAATGTAAGGCACGAAGTGATAGTCGTCCTGCGTGCGCGAGGCCACCAGATGAGCGCTGAAGCTAGCGGCTCGCGACACTGGCGACACTTGAGCACTCACGAGGCCCCATACGCCGTGACTGCCAGCCGGCTCCAAACCATATCGATCTTGCAAAGACCAGACGGTGCGCAGATAAGCGGGCAGCACGCGCGTAGCCAGCTCCCTCTCGTAGCCTTGCGGCGCAAGCAATGGCCCGATCGCATCCGCATCCGCATCCGCATCCACCTCCATGGGCACCTGTCCGCGTGCGCCCTCTGCAGGCTTGACCGGCTCAGCATCATCTCCTTGCACGTCTCCAAACAGGCCCAGCTGGATGAGAGCGAGGAGCCAAGCGAGAAAAGCCAGCTCATGACCTGATCCGTAGTCGATGCGCACCCAGGAGCCGAAGGAGCCGAGCAGGTAGCCGCACAGATCGGGAATGTGCGCATGTATGCGCTCAGGCAGTCCTTTGTGGAGATCATCCACGCGCTGCGAGTTTGAGTGTCGCGAGTGATAGCAGAGGAGTCACGTCACGTGAGTGCGTCATGAGTGAGTGCGTCACGAGTCATGAGTGAGTCAAAGTGGCGTGACGGGTGACGGGTGAATGAGGCGACAGAGCTTGGGTGCTCACCTGCTGCAGCCTGGCACCCCACTGCCTGAATGCCAGATTGCCAAACCTCTGCGAGCCAGTGTGAGGCTGAATCTCTGCGGTCCACTTGTCCAGCTCCTGCAGCACATCCATCACGAATGCAATGCCAGCATTGGTCGGCGCTGCATGGCTGGTGCAAGCCATGGTGGCACAGCCGACAGCAGCTTCGCACAGTCGCTCCACCAGCAGCACCAAGAGGCGATGCGCTGCGCTGTTGCCCATCCAATGAGCCAGCTGCGCATCGCTGTGGATGCGCGGCCTTGTTCCAGTGTACGTGCTCGTGCTCGTGCTCGTGCTCGTGCTCGCAACCGCAGCCGAGGCAGGCGAAGCAAAGCACAAGGCTGGCAGCGATTGAGCGGGTGCGATGGCGCGTGCAGAGGTCAAGGATGGAGCGCGGGCAGGTGCTGCGGCGAGTCGAGGTGCTGTGCTCTGCCCCGAGGTGGCGTGCACAGATCGCAGCGGTGCGGCCATTGCGAGCTGTTGGGAAGCGTGGTGGTGGTGGTGGTGATGGTGGTGGTGGTGATGGTGGTGATGATGATGATGATGGAGTGCGGGTGCGGGTGCGGCGTGGTTGAGCGAGCGCACCATGTTGCTTGCGGTCGCTGTGAGCGAGGTGCCATGGAGTGGAGGGCGCGGCGCGTGGCAGCAGACCGCGCCCCGCATCTACTACGGCCGAGAGAGAGAGAGACGCGCGAGTCGAGCGACGCACACTCACGACTCGCGACTCCCACGCTCACTCCCACTCCCACTCCCACTCCCACTCGCCCCTCACTCACCCCTCACTCACCCCTCACCATGTCGCGCCGTGGTCGTGCCTTGGGTCGTCCCTTGACCAGCGGCAGACCTTCTGCAATCTCTGCGTCAGACTCGTCCAGACCATCCAGCAGCGCCCATCATGCCAATACCGCTGCCGCTGCCGCATCCTCCATCTACTCGCAACCATCTACGCGCGAGCTTCTGCAAGGCGGTGTGAGGAGAGACTTTAAGGATCCCACTGGACGCGTAGGCGAGTTCTCCGTGAGTGATGGGCGTCCGGCGTGCGGCCGGCGGCGGCCGGCGGCGGCTGGCGGCGATGACGCTCGCACACCGCTCACACCGCTCACACCGCTCACACACCGCTCACACCCCCCTCACTCGCCTCCACCCGCACCCCACAGTCGGCAGAGGACAAGTGCCCAATCTGTCGCACAGACCGTTTCCTCAATCCTCGCCTACGACTGCTGGTATCGCCATGCTACCACAAAATGTGCGAATCCTGCATCGACCGCATCTTCAGCTTGGGTCCTGCTCCCTGTCCCGATTGCGGTCACGTGTGCAGAAAGAACCAGTTTGGCAGTCAGACTTTCGCTGATCTCAGCATCGAGAGGGAAGTCGACATTCGCAGGAGGCTCGGCAAGCTGTGCGTGCTCTGTGCTGTGCTGGGCTGGGGTGTGGTGTGCCATCAGGGCCAGCGCGCTCGTCGTGTAGTCAGTGTGCGCATACACGCCCTCGCGCTCATCATCCTTCCGTCGTCCCTCTCCTGCCCGACCGCGCAGCTTCAACAAGTCGCGCGACGAGTTTGCGACGCTGACAAGCTACAACAATTACCTGGAAGAGGTCGAGACGTTGAGTGAGTGGACGGGTGAGCGTGAGCGTGAGCGTGAGCGTGCTTGCGTGCGGCGCTGACAAGCCTCTTGGCCCGCAGCCTACAATCTCATCCACAAGGTGGACCTGCCAGCCACAGAGGCGCGCGTGGCAGCGTACGAATCGGCCAACAAGTCTTCCTCTGTCTCCAACGTCCGAGCTCAGCAAGCCGCATCGGAGCAGCAGCGCCAGCAAGAATCCGCCTTGAAAGCGTTGCAAGTGCAGCGAGCTCGCGAGCGGAGGGTCAGGCACGACGCGTACAAGCAGCAATTGCAGGCGCTTCAAGAGTCCAGTGCGGATGACATTGCCAGAGGCATCGACGTCAGCGGCAGGCGGGAAGATGTTGTGCGCAGGTACGAGAGGCAAGAGAAGCTCATCGAGGAGCGTCACAAGGTGCAAGATGCTGCGGCAGCTCTTGTTGGCAACGCCCAAACGTCCACCGCCGCTGCACCGAGCCGCCAACAGTGGCTGGTCGAATCGCTTTGGGACTTTGTGCCCGCACCGCTAGCCACGCTGGACGACTGCAGCTGGGCGTACGACTTGCGAGACGCTCCCTCATCCCTCGGCGGGCCGGACGTCAGCAAAGGCTACGTCGATCCGTGGGCGCTGGAGAAGCTCGACGGGGATGCGGGCAATCGTTTCAGAGCAGGAGGCTACGACTACTCCGAAGTATGGCAGAGGTGCATCCGCGCTAGCATCGACGGGCTAGCGATCAACACGGCGCGCACGTAGACGAAACGTTGCATTCACGTGATTCATTCGCGACGCTCTCACTCCTGACAGCGCGCACGTATAGAGGACATGTCGCATTCATTCGCATCGCTTCACTCCTTTTTCTTGCCTGGCGTCATCCTCGGTGGTCCTTTTGGTGGCGGTGGAATGTGCGACGCGCCATTGACATGCGGTGCTGCTACAAAGTGCGAGGCGCCATTCGCATGTGCGGGCGTCGCGGCCCCATTCGCTGCTGCTGCCGTTGGCGCCGCGCCCCACGCTCCTCCAACAACTTGCGCTGCGCTTCTGCGTCCATCCACACCGGACGAAGTCGAGTCCATGCCCATTCCGACGCCGTACATTCTACTCGCAGGAGTAGCATTGCGCGAATTGCCCCAACGATTCGGCACTGGCGGCACGTAGCCTCTCTCCGGTGGCGGTGGAAAGGCCTTCAATAGTAATCGGTGCTAAAAAAAAAAAGTAATCTCGCTCCCGCGTGAGCTGGAACGCTAGCGCGCATGCACATGCACACGCCCACTCACAGCGTGTATGGTCAACCAGAATATCGGCAATCGAGGGGGCAGCAGTCTGGACAGCTGCGCGACTCCCGACATTCCTGCACCTCCGGCAGACGTTGGTGTCATTGCGCTTCCGCCCGTAGGTGCCACACGAGGCTGGGGCGATGCGAGCATGGCAAGGACGGTGCACTACCGGGGCATGCGAGTAAGACTCTGCGTGTGCGCCTCCGCACCCACGCGCACACACTCACAAATGGAAAGCAGACCATGAAGAGCATCACGTTCAGCAAAGGGCTGGGGTGGAAAAAGCTGACTAGTGTGGAGGGCAGTCCGACTGCGGAGGGCAACGCGCGTCAATGATGCATTCTGGGCAATGCCTTGCCGCCTCACTCACAGGCTACAAAGTAGGCCCACCTAGATTCTGCATATCTCATCCTCTGTGGGGTCCAAGGCGACGATTAGCTGCTCGTCCTCATCGCCGCTCCACGCCTCACGCACCCTATCCAAACTCCATCCGCGTGCAATCCAGGCTTGTTCGAAGCTGCACAGAGTGAGCGCGTATGAGCGGGCGCTTGGCTCGTCTGTACTTTTTCAGCATCCGGCACGCACCAATAGTAAGCATCTATGAAGCTCTGTGCGAGTGCGGTGCGGTGCGTAGAGGTGAGCTGTAGAGTGAAGACGCGTGTGCGGGCGCCGCCCAACCCACCATGAAGAAGAAGGCCAACGGTCTGCCAATGTAGGGCACGAGATCGAGCAGGTAGCAAATGAGGACATAGTTGAGCACCAAGATGACGCGATATGATTCTTCCAAGATGCGTCGAGATGTGCTGCGTGAGTGAGTTGGGCGCCGTCAGCTTGGAGCCCAAAAAGCGACTCGATGGGCGCTTCGGCCACTCTCGACGCTCACCCCGCTGGCAGCTTGACGGCATCGGCCACGCCAACGCTCATTCCTCGCAGATGACCAACATTGCCCCTCCTAATGGCGTACACTGCATTGGCCACATCCACAGTCCAGCTGGCAGCTAAAAAGTAGCACAGCCCCAGCAGCGGATAGAGGAAAAAGACCTGCATGTATGAGTGTGAGATGCGTGAGCGCAGTGAGCGCAGTCAGCTTGCCTATACTGGCCTGGACGCACATGACCGAATCCCGTCGCTGATTCGCCCTGCTGCCTTTGGAAGAGGTGCGAGGGAAAGAATGCGATTTCAAAAAAGAAGATGGCGCCGACGACCGCGAGGGACAAGATGGATCCCTTGGCCAGACCGTTGCGAACGTCGGGCGATCTTGAGGGAGGGGGAGCAAAGGCAGCGCGCGTGTTGTGAGCAATGTGTTGCTGTTGCGAGCGTTGTGTTGCTGCTGCGAGCGTTGTGTTGCTGCTGCGAGCCTTGTGCTGCTGTTGCGAGCGTTGCGCTGCTGTTGCTCGCTGCATACATGCCCATGCCCATGCCCGCTCTGCAAGCCGCGCAACCTGCTCACCTGCGAATGACGCGTGCAGCCTCTGACCAGCGCATGCTGTCCACCCATCCATCCCTGGCCCAGCTGAGGTGAGCTTTGGCGCTGTGGACCGCATTCAATGTGGGCAGACTGCTGGCTGGACCTTTGGCAGACCATGGCAGATCCTCCGTCCTCCATCCCGCATCGTAAGATTCGTCCAGCCTAGCATTCGCCCCGCCTTCCACATCCAAGTCGATCGATGCGGACAGCGATAGCTGTGGTCCGCGATGCGTGGGTCGTCGTGAAGACATGCTCGTCGATCAGAGCGTCGCGTCGAGTCGAGTGGAGAGTGGCCGAGAAAGGTATCAGCAAGTCCGAGGCACGAGTCACGAGTGAGTGGTGGTTGCGTGTCAGTACGATGGAGGCGGGCTGGGCTGCCTGTATGCGAATCATGGCATCCACGACTCACGATTCACGATTCACGTGATTCACGATTGGTGATGCTTGTGATCAACGCCGTTCCACGTGACCTGCCGTCATGCATGCCTGCACCTCTTCTGCTGCATCCACGCAAAGCCGCGAAGAAAGTTGAGACGCGGGCGCGGGCGCGGGCGCGGGCGAGGGCGCAGCAAGTGAGCACGCCAACGCTCAAGTGAGCAAGCACATCCTCACCCTCACACCACACACCACACACCTCACACCACACACCACACACCACACCACACCCCGCGTCTCCCAACATGACGCTCGACGGTACATCCTCCTCTGCGCTGCACATCAGCTACCCAGCTACCAGCGCAGTCACATCGCGCACCACCAGCCGCGTATCCGTGCATCCAGTCGCCCTGTTCAGCATCCTCGACCACTACCTCCGTCGCAGCGACCCCGAACCCGCTGCACCAAAGCAAGCGGGCGATCAGGATGGCGCAACAGCAGCAGCAGCAACACCACCACCACCACCATCATCGAAGCCCTCTGCTGCCGCTGCTAGCAGCACCACCGCAGCGAACCCCACTCGGGTCATCGGCACGCTGCTGGGCACGCGCGTAGAGAACGAGGTGGAGATTAGGAATTGCTTTGCAGTGCCTCACCACGAGACGGATGAGCTGGTGCAGGTGGACATGGACTATCACCGTCAGATGCTCGAACTGCACCAGCGCGTCAATCCGGAAGAGATCATCGTCGGATGGTGAGTGGTGGGGGCAGTCGCTCTGGAGCGCACGCACGCACGCACGCACGCACGCACGCACTTCATCCGCGCCGCTCATCGCAACCCACACGCCCCACGTTCCACGTTCGCGCCCGCGCAGGTACGCCACAGGCCCATCGCTCAATACGTACAGCTCCCTCATTCAAGACTTTTACTCTCGCGAGACGCTGCCCAACCAGGCAGTGCACCTCACAGTCGACACGGATGTCGCCAAGGCCAACACTGGCGTCAAGGCATACGTCAGGTGAGCACGCGCAACGTCGCACCATGTATGCGCATCATCACGCTCACCCCGCGCGCACTCGCACTCGCACTCGCACTCGCACTCGCACTCGCACTCGCAGCGCACCCCTCGGACTCACACCAAAAGCAGAGAGCGCTGTCTTTGTGCCTCTTCCCGTCACCCTGCTATCCTCGCTGGCCGAAAAGCCTGCCCTCTCCTTGCTGGCCAGCACCACCGCGCCTCAGCAGCAGCACGGAGGAGGCGTGATGCTGTCAGACATGGACGCGCTAGCAGCTTCGCTCAGACAAGTGCAGAGCCAGCTGTCCCGCGTACTGCAGTACGTTCGCGATGTCATCGACGGAAAGAGAAAGGGCGACCCGGTGGTGGGCAGGTATGTGATCGATGCAGTGTCCACCGTTCCCATCAGCAGTTCCAGCGCCACAACCCAAGACGGTGCATCACAGCTCGAATCGCTGTTCAACAGCCATCTTCAGGTGAGCCAGGGCGAGCGAGGCGACAATGCTTCTGCTGCTCGTGCTGACGTGCTGTCCCCCGCCTATCGCTCCTGCTGACGTGCTCTTCCCACGCCTCACAGGACGTGCTCATGATCTCTTACCTCGCCAACGTCGTCCGTGCACAAGCAGAAGTATCCGCCAGACTTGCCATCCTCACTTGAGCCAGTCACGTGTGCTTGCCGCAACACACACACACACACGCACACGCACGCACACAAAAAGTCAGCTCTGGTCATTACACACACACACACACACACACACACAATGTATTGCATGCGCGTGCACGCTTACTTGGTCGACGTGCGCCTGCTGCTGCTTCCCGGACTCCTCTGCGCCTGACTCTCGCGCAGCCTGAGTGCCTGCACCACCTTGTTGATGCCGGCGATGCGCCTATCGTCCTTGCGCAAAAAGTACAGTTTGGCCCTGCGCGCTCTTCTCAGGTTGCCCTGCGTGCGAGTAGCCTTGCTGGCATCTGCGCGGCTAATGACCCTGATCTGCTTGATCAGCGGGCTGTACAGATTGAACCTCATCTCCACGCCCAGCTTGTTGACCAGTGTTCGCAGCACAAAGGAAGTGCTCAGTCCGCGCCTCCTGACGGCGATCAGGACGCCGCTAAAGGCTGTAGAGTTGGTCTTGCTGCTGTTGCTCCACGTCTCTACCAGCACCACGCTGCCTGCAGGAACATTTTGCCGCGACTTGCGAGAAAAGAGGGCAGACTTTTCGCCCGTCGGATCGTACGATGCCCTCATATCCGCAATGAACGTGTCCATGCTGCCCTGCCACACCGATTTGACTCGAGGCGGCGGCGTAATGTATGCCGGCACCTCCTCCACCTGCTCCACCACCCGCGCAGACGTAGAAAAGGGGTACTCGGTGCCTGCGGGTGTGCGTGTGTGCGGGTGTGCGTGTGTGCGTGTATGCGTGCGTGTATGCGTGAGCGAGTGCTCGTGCTCGTGCTCGTGCTCGTGCTCGTGCTCAACAAGCAAATGCTCGACTCGATGACCTCGCTACTCACCTCTGCTCGCGCCATGCACGGACCCTGGAGCGCGATGTTGCGGTCCCACAAACCCATTCCTTCTTCCTTGCGACGCTGACGCTGATGCTGACGCTGAGCTGCTGGCGATGGATGTCGACGCCGTCGTGGTCGCTTCAGCTTCCCCGCGCGTTGCAGAGGTGGAGAGCTGCTTCTGCCGCTGCTGCTGCTGCTGCTGCTGCTGCTGCGTCTTTGCGATGACTGCTATGCGTGCGCCGCGTGAAGGGGTGGGGGTGGGGGTGGTGGAGATGCAGAGATGGCGCATCAATGGCGCCAGACTGGACGTGGATGCGCGCATCTTGAGCGTGGCTGGGCGTGTGCAGCGAGGGCTCTTGGTGATGCTGACTGATGATTGGAGAGCAGAGAGACGTTTAGCGCAGCGCTGCTCAAAGAAGTCGTCAAGTCCTGATGCGAAGTGACGAGTGACGAGCGACGAGCGACGAGCGACGAGCGACGACCAATCCCGCTTCGTTCACGGCATCGCTCGATCAGTCACAGTCGAGTGAGTGTAGCCGCGCTCGGGTGCGATGGATGTGATCATCACCGCGCGGCTCTCTTCAGATGAGGGTCACGTGCGTATATGCATGCATACCTGCCTCACCTCACGAGAGCACGCGCGCCACGTGGGAGACCTGACCTTGCGCTCCCCCCTCCAAGCGCGCGTCTCTCGTGCGGCATGACACCAATCAGGCGCGTTTTCAGGCCGCAGCTGACGCTCAAGCCTCGGAGAAGTCGCGCTGGACGGTGCGCGCGCAGCGGCGGGCAAGAAGTCCAGAAGCGATGCGAGCGGAGGGGAGCAGCGCGCCGCGCCAGCCATCTGCAGTCAAACGTGACTTGGATGGGTGCACCACGCTCACCTTCCCTACCTCATCCATTCACCCACCTCGCACACCTCAAGAAACGTGAGTATACCGCTTCATCACATTCTCCACCTTCTCGGCATCGTAGCGATCAGACCAATGTTCTCCCGCCACCCCGCTCTAAAGAGCTGAGAGGGCGTACCGAGAGGTGGACGGCCGGCGCACGCAGCAGATGCTTCTCCAGCGTCTCTTTTGTGCCATGGGTGGAGTTGCTAGAAGCGTGGGAGAATGCGCCATGAGGCTGCGGAGGCAGCTTGCAAACACTTGCAGGAGATGGTGCGGCAGGAATGTAGATGGAGGCCATGTTCGCAAAGAGGCACGGATCATGATGACGAGGATGCTGGCGTCGAGAGCCGCTCGTGCCGCTCGTTTCACTGGCACACTGCAGCCTGCATGGAACGTTAGCCAGGCTGTGATCCAAAGCAGCAGCAGCAGCAGCAGCAGGCGGCACCATTGATGGCGGTCATCCAAACTGCAAACTCAAACATCAACGCGCATGTAGGCGCTCCTCGAACTGCGCGAAGCTGACATCGTCTGGCTCTCGCTTTGTACACACACACACACAGCGCACAAGATGCTTCAAATCTACAAGGAACTCGAGCTGGTCATTCCCAAGGAGGTGACGGTCACCCTCCACTCCCGCAAGGCCACCGTCAAGGGCCCTCGCGGAGAGCTCACCAAGGTGCGTTGATGGAGACGCTGCCATGTGGTGTAGCAGTGCTGCGCGAAGAGGCAATGAGCACGCGGAGGAGCGAGAGCGGCGAGGACGCAGTGTTAGAGGGAAGTGGAGGAGAGCAGAGAAGTGTGGGGGGGG